TGTCTATGTGTTTCATCCCTTAGCTGTAAACACTGACCGAACCCTTTGCATCCGCGTAGGAGTGCGAATCATCAGTACAGCCTCCTACCCACCAAGTACTGAACAAATCAAACAAACGGGGAATGCACACCACAGGGGGTATAAAAGAGGCAAAAGCATGAAGTAGTAGAACACAGGAGGATTGGACTTAAGTCCCATGTCTAAGAAGAGATTTTACGATGCAGCAGTCTGTCTGTGTGTTTCATTCCTTAGCTGTAAACACTGACCGAACTCTTTGCATCCGCGTAGGAGTGCGAATCAACAGTACAGTCTCCTATCCACCATGTACAGAACAAATCAAAAAAACGGGGAATGCACAGCACGGGGGTATAAAAGTGGCAAAAGCGTGAAATATTAGAACAGAGAGGAAATGGACTTAAGTGTCATGTATAAGAAGTCATTTTACTCGGTGCAGCAGTCTGTGTTTGTGTTTCATCCCTTAGCTGTAAACACTGACCGAACTCTTTGCATCCGCGTAGGATCGCGAATCATCAGTACAGCCTCCTATCCACCATGTACTGAACAGTCATATGACTAATTTGAAAGACGGATATGTGAAAGAAAGAGAAAAAAGAGACAGAGGACAAAGAGAGTGAGAGAGGAGAAAAAGAAACGACCTAACGTGTGGTAACAAAGCGTATATCTGTCCCCAGGATATTAGGAAAATTATGAGAAAAATGCTCGCACAGCAACCGCAGTGCTGTGGCTAAAAAGCGTAAAAAGATGGCTGCTGAGTACCACCAAATGGCCAAAATTCCCTCAAATATTCAATCCCAATGAAAAGCGGAGGTAACTAGAAGTAACCCGAGTGGTAGCAGGTTTGACAAAAACAACCACACGTTGGCAAAGCTGTCGACAGCTTCCTCCTTCTACGGAATGGTTAGAAGCATGCTGATGGCGGCACAGGTTCGATCCCAAGGCATATACCAGTACCAATTTACTACCGGAAGGAGACCAAGTTGCAGTAAGTTTGACAAAAACAACTACACGTTGGCAAAGCTGTCGATGGCTCCCTCTTCCTACGGATTGCTTAGGAGTAAATTTGACAAAAACAACCACACGCTGGTAAAATTGTCGAAAGCTCCCTCCTCCTAAAGATTGCTTAGAAGCACGCTGATGGCACAGGTTCGACCCCAAAGGGCATATGCCAGTACCAACTTACCATCGAAAGGAGACCAAGTTGTAGCAAGTTTGACAAAAACAACCACACGTTAGCAAAGCTTCGATGGCTCCCTCTTCCTACAGATCGCTTAGAAGCACGCTGATTGCGGCTCAGGTCCAACCCCAAAGGCATATACCAGTACCAATTTACCATCGAAAGGAGGCCAAGTTGTAGCAATTTTGACAAAAACAACCACACGCTGGCAAAGCTATCGATAGTTTCCCC